ATGAATAGGGGTAGTGACATTCTGTATTCTTAATCCCTCACCACACTACACAAAGCATTTGGCTGTCAAAGAAATTAAACTGTTTTTTTAATCCCACCACTTAAAACAAATCGATTGGCCCGATATATTAATATGACTTCGATGTTATTATCAAAAAAATGTACAGAAATACTACAATAACAGAAAATAAAAAAGGAAAGGTAAGCGGAAATGTTTCTATGTAAGTAAAGATATTTGTTCCTTAATCACATCTTTAATGTACTCGTATTACAATTTATCACACTGTTAGCCGCGGTCTCTTTCTGTGTGGACGATATGCTCCAGAAGGTGGCACTAGCCCCCCAGTAGTCGCCTAAGGGTCGCTGCGGCTACAGTTTGAGCCATGTGGCCGATGCAAACGACCCGAGACAGATGACACTCCGGTGCGGCTGAGGGGTGTCGGCTAAGGTGCTGTTGCGATTCTTACTGTGTAGAGCAGTGAAAGGCGTGGCAGCGTCCCGTCCCATGGTGACTACGGTCACCCCGGGATGTGCCTCGGGGGCCTCACCACGGGGTTTAGTGGGTAGGCCGGTTTTCTAGGAGTCCCACACACATCCTGCGTTTTCCCAAAAAAAAGTATTGAGGCTGTATGTATTGAGGCTAAGAGTGTTGACATACGTAAACTGCTCAACATGGAATTCTAGAATCAAATCAGTCATAATGACTACTTCTTTTAATAAACATTCAATGTATCATTGAAAATTATCTAAACTAACGTAACCTTTTTATTCAAAATTGTTGGCGGTGGTACAAATAAAATAAAGTATTAGAGTGTACAAATTAATTAAAAAGTTTACCTTGTTTACAGTTTAATCATTTAAAATAGTTTATAATTTTTCAGCACTGAGTATTAACGATCTGAAATTAGACAATCACTATAAGTGAAATCTTGAAGGAAGCCTCCGAGAAAAAGAAGTGAGTAAAATAACAAAAGAGCCTAAGTACAGTACTGAATCGAGTACTGCGTCGAGACTTAATTTATGAGATCTAGCTGAGACCCGCGGTGTTACCCGCGTTTGTTGTTATAACCGCGGGCAACGCCGCGGGGCAAAGCTAGTCTAAAAAAAGTAGCCTAAGTTACTCCTTATGTCATCAGCTATCTGCCAGTGAAAGTCCCGGCGAAAACGGTCTAGCCGTTCCAGAGATTACCCGGAACAAACAGACAGACAGACAAAAATTGTAAAAAATGTTATTTTGGCAAATGTACCGTGTAAACATACATATGCATTTAGTAAATAGCGGTTATTTTAATATTACAAACAGACACTCCAACTTTATTTATTTGTATAGATTCTTCAGAGAGACAGGTATAACTGTGTACGAATATTATATATGTAGCCCTTATAATGGCTTATAATATTATGCAAAGGAATACCTACCTTAGCATAGTGAAAAATAAGAAATACTATGTTAATTGATTAAATCGTGGATAGGAAATATATCCTTCAACCGTATATTTATTTATTGCAAATGCTGAAACCCGTTATAAGCTGCAAAATAAGTATACAACGACGATATAAATAGTGAATATGGACCATTTTATCTCTATTTAGTTGTATATAGACCATTGTATTCAATAAGAAGTAACAAAGCAGAATTTGAATAAATGAAAGGTGCCACAAAAAAATCAGTTTCCAACCTGACGGTGTTACCATACGTCAAAATGTAACATCAATATCGTTCATATCACATTCCTTTATAAGGGTAACCTGAATTTAATATAAAATATTGCTTGGTAGCTCTATTATATGGGACAGAACCAGTTGAATTTTTAGGAAGATAATTTTCTTTTCAGAATTTTCTTTAAGCCAAAGAAAAATCTGAAGGAACTAAGCTGTAAAAGCTTGAAAAGCTGTATTTTTTGAAATGTTATTTTTTTAATCTTTTAACTGTAATAATAAGAATCCAACCACTAGTAGGTATTTATAGGTTGTTTTGGAGAAATTTTACTTCAGGAAGCAAAGATCCTTTAGGCAAAAGGGTAATTGTTATTTATTCCAAGAACCTGTCCTACTTTTCAGGCGTTCCAGAAACTGACAAGAATTTTTTGATTATCCTACCGTTACATCGGTAGGATAATCAAAAAATTCTTGTCAGATATAAGATTTGCTTACCATTTTAAGAAGAAGTTAATAAAATGATACACTGTTTGTGTTTTTCCCTTATTCGATTAAATTTTTTCTTAAACTTATTATGGAAAGTACTCGTAAAAAGTTGTCAAGCATTGGGTCCACTTTTATGCGTGTTTAATGAAGGTCTTGCGTAAAAGGGACTTTCCTGTGAAAGTGAATATTTAACCTAATTTTGACACCTTTAATATTCCAGCGGAATGTGGCTTATATTTTTTAAAGGTTAATGAAATTTAAATACGCTGGCTTATCTTGAAAAATGATGATTTTATTAATAGAGAGCCTATTTTATATTTTTTGAGCTAAAACATTTAAGAGGTCATTTTCGTTACTGAAATAATTAATTTGACATAGTTATTTATTTCATTGCAAAAAAATATTATACTTTTTACAATTATTGCTGGAATTCTTGAATTTGAATAATTGACTTCCTGCTACCGCATTCAAGAAACGTTACGACGGCAAATGTCCACCACTCAAATTAAATTCATTACATAGCTGAAATTTTCCAACTCATAATCTGTTTCGATCTCATTAACTTTATGTGCTAAGATACGCCCAGCTGCAGCACAGCCAAGACTTGGAACATTATTTAAATCATACTTATTAAACACCCTTGGCTTTATCCATACGGATGAAATTTTAATACAGAGTGATAAATTTAGGTTCGCTTGCTAATTTCAAATGTACATAAACGTATACACTTATAAATATTATTGTAATTTTCATTGCCGTCTAAGCTAAGATAAGTTTGATTTAAGATAAATATAAACAAGTAAATAATTATAGTTTAAAAAACTAAATAACCAGCTTTTTAACTAATTGAACTGCAGCAGCAGCAGATAAGAATTTTCTATAATTTCAAAAAGAAAAATAATTTTATCGTAAAAATGCTAGGGGTGCTAGAACTCAATTATTGTAAAAATATTTTATTGATAGATATTGGTAAAAGTAAAGCCAAGCTTATATATAGCCAAGCTATATTAAGATATACGATATTATATATATGCGTAACTAATTCATAGTTTTGATTATCGTTTGTGTTTATTAATTATTGTGACAAGTTGTTTTCTTTAATAATAATGATTAAAGAAACGAATTCGAAATTCGATTAATCGATCATCCGAAAGCAGTTTTCTTCATTATTATGAATTATCGAATTTCGAATTCGTTTCTTTTTAGGTTTTATACAAACAATGTTTGAGAAAATAAACAATAGTTTATTTTCTCAATTTTCGTTTGTACAAAACCTAATATTTTAAGTTACTGCAGCAAGTTTGGTCAAAGTTTGTTGAGTAAAACTGTAGGTAATAGCCTGATCTTCGTTGTTTATTACTTTAATGTTATTTAGGAAAACTTTTGACTAGTACCATCAAGCACGCAAGTTCACAATACTTTTGTTTTATACTTATACCAACAAACTTGGAAGTATGAGCTTTGCTACATACACTCACACCTCATTCCCATCCGGGGTAGGAAGACTAGCGTTACATAATTTTCTACCTTACTGACATACAGCTCTCACTTCTTCTACATTCATCAAGCTTTTTATACACGCTTGATGATTGTGAGTGCTTTTAATGAGGCACTTTTCAGTGTACAGCTGTTTACTCACAGGCCCTCAAAAATTCATTTGGTCAATCGCTTTTTGCTCATCCTTTCAACAAGCTGCTCTGTCACTACCTCTTCTTTCAACCAACACCGTTTTCACTCATCATTCCTCACTGTAGCAGTCAATCTTATGTAACAATATACTTATTATATGTTTTACCTCTTACAACCAATCTATGGAACAAATTGTCACCAGTGGAATTACCAGACGGATACGACCTTCAAACTATCAAGAAAAGAGCGTACTGTGCTAAAGACCTGCCCACTTCTTTGCTCCCTAAACCATAAGAAAACTCATTGGTAAGTGCATTTCCATAGAAATATCTTTGTCATACTTTCCATTCCTTTCAAGTTACATCTCAGATAAACGAACTTATTCACTTGTTCTACTTTTTCGTTTTCAGTCTTTACCTTACAAGCAGTTACCTCTTTACCATTTTCAAATACACACACCATTTGCTAGCTTTGGTATTGAAGTTAATCCTGGTAAATAAATAACAGAGTACATCATTCTAAGTATCAGATATGAAATAACGACTGCAGACTAACCCAAAAATCCCTAAAAACTATTTATACATATTTTTATCGGTCACACTTTTAGATTAAACCAACTTTAAACATAATAACGAGTAAACAAACGTTACTGTTAACCTAGGTGCTTAATAACACTCAAACGAAATACCCACAACATATATAATTTGGTCCCTAAGTTTAATCGATCCTAAAACAACACAGTTTCAAAACACCTCGTTTTAAACAATCTGTTGTTTTAGGACGTGTATGAATGAAAAATAATAATGGTATCACTGTGCTCACATTCTTTTATATAATTGAAATTGTGATGGATCTTTCAATGTGTGTTATAAATGGGTTTTGGGTTATAAACTAATTTTATTTTTGTTAAAGAGATGTATAAAATAAATGGAAAACCTGAATTATAAAGTTATTGTTAGTCAATAAACGAACGGCAAGTTTAGTAACCCTAGTAAGATACATGACATATTGTATACTATATCGTATATATATTAAATCTATTATTATGTCTGGCGAGTGTACGTGCAATTTTATTAAAACTGGATCAATATTTACATTAAATACCACAAATCAATTTTAGGTTCTATTAAAAAAAAGAAATGCTAATAGCATCTAATTAATTTAAATATAGACACTTTTTCGTATTATATGTTTACTTAAACCTTATTAAAAATTAAAATAACTTACCAAGATTATCAGCGTGACATACTGGGAATATTGTCATCAACAATATCATAAGAAATGCCGTTTTCTTCTCCATCTTTTGACAACACACTGTCAGTTACGCATGTGAAGAATTATTTGTGACGGTATATGACATGATGTCCTTAGACACGTTTTTTTTTAATCCTTAGTGTATTCTGAAACAAATAAAAAATATATTTTTAGAAACATGTGGTCTTCGCTGCATATATATAATACACATGTGTATGGGTAGTTGATTTTCAAAAATACATTTTCATAAATTTCAAAACATTATTACATTAAGTTTTATTAGATTTCATATAGCTCATATTTAGCTTTCAAGATTCCACGCTGCTATTCTACTTCATTTTTTATTTTGTTTATTGGGAACAAAAAACAGTTACATGTCAAAGTCTTAAAACTATATATAAATATATTACAGATGTATAAACACACAATTGTTCACGGATTAATAAGAGGAAAATTGAATGAAAAGAAATCAGAACATTATTGTAAATGCGCATGAGCGCAGACACTAGGTGCTTATATGTAAATGTACAAGCACGATATAATAGGTCTTTACCTATGAAATTGCCGTTTTGTATGCAATAAGTGAAAGTACTTATTTTTTCAAACTTTTTTATTTCTGTTATTCGAAGTAATCGCCCATGCAATCGACGCATCTTTGCCAACGCATTGGCAGTTTATTGATGCCCTTCTTGTAAAAATCAGCTGGACGGGAGGCAACAAACTCTTCAAAGGCATTTTGTACTGCCTCTCGGGAATTGAATTTTTTACCCACTAAAAAGTTGTCTAAATTTTGGAAAAAGTAATAGTCGGTAGGTGCAAGGTAAGGTTATTAATGGAGTATGAAAAGTTTAGTTTGTTTACATTTTTGGTAATTATAATAGTGTAGCATTTAGGTAAACTAGGAAAGAGTTTGTTTTGAATACAGTAGTTATGCAATCCACAAAGGTCCAATTGAAGAAGGTGACAGTCTTTAATGTTTTTGCCAGACTTATAAATTTTAATATCGTCCGCGTACATTAAGAAGTTTGAGTGCATAAAGATTGCTTTTTATATAAAGATTGATAAAACATTGTTTATGTCATTGATAAAAATTACAAAAAGTAGCGGACTCAGTATCGACCCCTGTGGAACTCCGGAGCTAGCAACTATAGGGTCAGAACGATATCCATTAACAACGACCCTTTGCGTTCTATTAAAAATATATGACATAAACCAACGAAGCAAATTTCCCCGTATACCGTTGAATGCAATTTTATCCAATAAGAGCAAGTGATCGACCTTATCAAATGCTTTTTGATAATCCGTATATACGGCATCCACTGGCACTTGCTTATCCATATTTGAAAATAAGTACCCAACAAAACTCATAAGGTTAGTACAAGTCGATTACCGTTTGACTAAGGCCATGTTGAGCCCTGTGAGGATACACTGCATCGTGAACGAGTCTTTCAAAGAGCTTAGACAAAGTGGACAAAATCGAAATAGGGCGATAGTTTTCCACGTTATTCTTGTCTCCGCTCTTGTATATGGGCGTTATGAATGCCTGTTTCAACACCGATGGAAATACAGACTCCTCTAGGCACTCATTAAAATGAATTATATATATAAGCGTAATAAACATTGATCAGCGTTTTTAAAAAGAATTATGGCGGGACGCCATTAGGACAACCTGTAGAAGAGTCTAACGAATTAAAAAAAAAAGGTTCTTAATACAGCCATGAAACCTCAACACTTTGTTTCACATCTTCTGCGCTTTAGAAACATAAACCTTTACAAATTCATCAGTGCATACAATTAACCACAGAAATACTCCATACATTAATCGGTAATTTAACCTGTTAATCCGAAATCTATATTTTGCAATATAACATAAAATATGACGGACTTAGGAAGTGTATATAAAAATCAAATTTAAATAGTTTATTGCGAATACATGAATTAACCGTGGGGGAGCCATTTAATCCACCCATGGACACAAGCAGACGGGTTTAAATGACTACTCACCATTGCGCGACCCGTCCCCTTGTGGCCCCCTTTACAATAAAAAAAGAAATAATAAAAACGAATGTTATAAGTTAAATTTGTATTTTGAATGTAGTTGAAAGTTGTTTCGTGTTACGTTTGTTTACTATATAAACTTACTTGAATTGCTCAAATCTCAAAGTATTTACAAACTTTCATTATTAACAACATCTTATTTGTTCACTGTCAACACTATGCAAATGAAGTTAAATGTTCTGTGAGAAGATATGTTGGGTCGGATAAACAGGAACTGGGGACGAGTTATTTCTCATAAATGCCTAAAGAGTCAGCTCTTCTGTGTAAATCACATGTAAATGTGCTACGCAACTAGGTTTAATTGTTTCGTAAAATTAACAGTGAATGTATACATAATCTGGGTTTCATTAAAATTTTGGTCGTGCCTTTGATAAAGTGTTATATTGAAAACCGTGTGGTACTAGTATATTAAGATTAAGGTAAGGAAGACCTGGCCTAAATCTTAATATAGTAAGATACTGAGATATTTTCTGTTAGCAGCAGATACCTGTTACGGTAAATATAGAATCTACATATAGGCAGTCTCTACGTCTATTTATCAACTGACACTAGAATGATATCATTATTGACTTTGTCAGAACTAATTTGTCATCTCCTAAGTTGACAAAGTATCGCTATAAAGTTAACTGAAATATGTTTTTAATGTAGTACCTAATATTTTGTTATTTAATATTTTGGCTATACTAAAGTTCCCTTAATTGTTCCTTTATAGTGCCATTACAATCTGTAATTTAAATGGATTTCTGAAACAAGTTCTATTTTCTTAATTACTGAATAATTTGAAGGTAAGTTTTGTACAACAGGAGATTTTGTAGCCGTTTCAGTTAACATTTCAGATGGTGTTTATATACTGTAGTGCCATTTTCAAAACGCTTTTGTAAGCTTCATTAGTAATTAACTAACTCACTTACTCATAGTGTCTCAAAAGTCAACTTTAAACTTTTTCTAAATATGGCACCTAAATTATCATTTTTGGAATACCCCACCATCATCAACAACAGCCTTTAACAGTTCAATGCTGGACATGGGCCTCTCCTTAGAAAGCAGGTTTTGGCCTACTATACCACGCGGGCCAAACAGTTTGTTTCAAGTTTTGTTTCTCTTTGCGGTGCTGTTATGACACCTACGCAATGGTCAGTGGTGGTGATACTTTGTATGAATACCTATGTAGTTTAAATGTCAATCCAAAGGGGCTAGATGATCAATGGAACTTTTCTGTGGATGTAATAAATCATATTTTCATTCAATCATATAATCATCATATTTTGACAATTTCAACAGATTTGGTTTTGGTAACGATGGGCCGATGATTGAGTGAGTAGGTGGTCTTTTTTCACTTTTTAATTGGGATCGCCGTTAAGAAATATATTTTTTAGTTATAATGAACTACAACTGTTTTTTATTGCCTGTATGTAGAGTCACCAAAATCCATGACTTTAGTAAGTCTAAGAAGTAAGAGTAGTACTACTATATTGTGTTTATAGACAACGATACCCATACATTTGTATCGTTTGCTAGTTCATGTGCTAAAGAAGATACTTTATTTATTTCTTTCATTATTTCATGAAACCAAATAAAAATAAAAAACATTACACTCACAGATAAAGAATATATTTTTATATAAAGCATAATACCTATATCCTATTAACCTAATAAGTAGCGAAGAACAGAGTGATTCAAGTACGAAGTAAACGAAAAAAATACTCAATGAAGAAAATTTATGTCAGACATTTATTCTCTCATAGATCATAATACGAATAGTTAACAATATTAGCAAATTATGTGTGTCGTTCTCTAGCTCATCAATTTTGTGATGTTTTCTCGTAAATAATAATAACGCCTTTCCAATATTTTTCCTCTTTTTTTACGTCACCATATCTTATATGTGAATTGTGCGATACGAAGAAGATATGCTTTGCTATTTTTCCTTGTTCATAATTAGATTTCCTTTTTAAATCTAATATCAAATAGATCTGCGCAAAATTTAAAAAGTTCCACCTTCGGAAATTATATTCTTAGGGTAACTTCAGTACTAAATAATAATTACCTAGAAGATACTAATAAAATATCAAGAAAACAGCAAAGTGGTTTTAGAGAAAACATAATTAGCAGCAAATTCTTGAATATTCATTTTTGGCGCCAAGGGAACGGATGGGAGCAAGCTCTCTCCCTTAAAAGACGGAAATTGGAATATGGCTCTTATTAATAAAATATTTGTAACCTAATAACATGGATCATGAACAACTAGAATTCTCATTAAAGCTTATTAAGACTTAGCTAACCTACATGCTTATATTAGGAGTGATTTAGGTCGTCAATGCTTTGAGTGGTGTTCAAACGCGTTACATTTGATTGCACATCCGATGCCTTAGAGATTTTGGCTACTGTGGTCTAGCACTTCGCTTTTAAATAAATTAAAATTAAAATAACTTTTCCGGGCTTTAATTAATTCATAGTAACATCTATAAATCATATTAATAAATACCTTATCATTACAGTTAATTAATTCATAATTAGGAAATGCCGGCACCTTCTAGCTGTAAAGTCCGACTTGTAAAAATAACTGAAAAGATTACTTTCAGAAATAAATATCATTTCATCATTTCATTACATTCAGATCAGTCGATCAACAAAATATAAAATAAACTAGTGATATTTTAGTTTTCCTCGATATGTTCGTGAAAATTTAATAAAATATATTACCATTGACTATTTGGCTTTCCTTGGAGATAAATCACTATATCACTTGACGTAGCAGCCGGAAAACGTGAATGTGATATGTTATAAACCGTAAAAACATGAACTCCACGTAATATTATGTTAGCTATAATATTTTAACATGAGAATTTTACATATTTATATATCGAATACCTATATTATTATATTTATTATATTATTGTTATGAAATTGTGCTTACATACTGTAAGTGGAGTAGAAAAGGATTGTATATACGTATTATGTTAAAAAAATACTGCTCTGAGAGAAAAT